GGGGCCCCGGGGCGGGCAGGCTGGGTGCCCTCACTGAGCTCCAGCTGCCTCCAGGAGGAGGAGGAGGAGATGGTGCCAGTCAAGAAGGAGAAGACGCATTTCACTGTGCAGCTGACAGGGCTGAAAGCCGCTGACAAGGTGAAGCTGATCAAGGAGGTGAAGAACTTTGTGCCAGGAGTGAACCTCGTGCAGGTGAGGAGCGGGTGGCCCCGTGACTCTGGGTCCAGCTGCATTGCTCTGGGGCTGCCCTCAAACCACCCAGCCCCTCTCCTCGTTCCCAGCTAGGCCTGACTTGCGTTTCAAGGCACCGTCCTTACTTGTGCATTCAAAGGAAAGCTTGTTTTTTCTGTCTTGAGGACTATAGTCCACCTGGGGCTGTGTGCACACCTTAGTGGTTCAGAAATAAGGCTGAGATGTGCAACAGGAGTCACTTGCCTTTATCTGCTTGGCCTTTTTTAGAAAAGGGTGTTTCTTCCCAGGTCTGCGCTATGGCCCACTCTTGAGCCACAGCGGACCTGGCGAGGTGAGAAAGGCTCAGAGCAAAGACTGCAAAGTCCTCCATGCCAATCCAATTATCCTAAGGATAAGAGCTGCTATGAGCTTTTTCTGCTGAGCTCAAGAGTACCCAAGATTCCTCACAGCAGCTGGATTTAGCCTGTTACTTCTCTGAAGTTTTTGCTTATTCAGGGACAACATCTTTCTGAATTTAAATGCTTTCTTCTAATTCACGTGTATCTTGTAATCTATGTTTCCGGTCCTTTTCAGCTCTTCTGTTTTTAGGTGATGTTTTTTCTTTTCCCTCGGAAGAGACAGGCCTTCTACGCTTCAATGCAGTATCTATGCTCATGCCCTCGGGTAATGATGTTGTAGGCTCAATACAAAGCACCGGTGATTTAGCTGTCCTTGTGGAAGCATTTAACGTGCTTCAGTTCTGGATTGGATGATGCTCTCCTATCTTAGGGACAAGAGTAGTATTTTCTACTTACATAATTGTAAGAAAAAATGTTAAGCATTGTAAAATCTGCTTTAATTTACAATCCAGAACATCAGAAGGATTTGCATAAAATCCTCTGAACCGTTCATACTGGCATTTTATAAAGGAAATAGTTGAATAATGGAGAAACTGGTGACGTAGGCGTGAGTGTTGTTCTTAAATGGTGACTGGGATAATTAACTGTCAGCATAGCTGGTCTGCCGGTTGTTGATCTATTATCAATCCCAAGCAACCGTTAAACAACTGAAATCATGTAATGGAGGTCAATCATTGGATGATTAAAAGCTGTCTGGAGAACTAATGCTAGATCAACATGACTTAGTAGGTGGAACTTGTCAAACTGTTTATGATGTTGATGTGATGACGAGTTTGGTAGATGCAAGTTATTGCAAACAAACTTTTGTAAAGTGTGACTTACCCCATGTGACACTTTAAAAACACACACCAAACAAACTACTACTAAAAGTTAATTCTACCCATAGCAGTTAATTATTGTCCAACTGAGGTGTCTTTAAATGAGATAGGTAGAGAATCTTTTCGTTGTAAGGCTGTTGTTAATGATTGGAAAGAAAGTATTGCTGGTAAAATCTGTGGATATTGCATGCTGAGAGAAATCTTAATGTCATTGGAACAGGTTGATTTTACAGAACTGACTGATGAGAGAGGCACGTTGTCAGTGCGAGGTGGACTTGAGCCTGTTTGCATCTCTGAAAGCCTGTTCAACACATTTATCTCATATTCTCACCTTTCCTGCACTGGAATTCTTTCATGCTCAGGCTGGGATTTGGGACCAGTTCCCATCTCTGCCTAGTGGCTGTTACAGGGCAGGTCCAGCTGGCTTAGAGTCCCTGCACTTACTCCTTTTGGGAGTTGTTACCAGCTGCTTCCTTTGACTGAGGCTGCTTTAGAACAGGAGCTAAGCATTAAGGAAAGATCCCTTTGTATGTGTTGCCTGTCCTCATCCCAGCATCTTAGAACAGGCTAGCTTTTGCTGGTACTGTAGTGGATTCCTGTGAGCGAAGGCATGCCTGTGCTATGCAGCTTTGTCTGCGCAGCAACACCTTCACATCCCTAGGAAAAAAAAGCATTTTCTGTCAGCAACAGTCGGTCTATTAGTTACTAATGCTACAGTCCTAAATAGCTACAGTGCCACATGGTAGATGCCTGACAGCTGCTCTTCTACTTACAAACCTCTTTCTCCGGGCTTTGTTTTTAAGGAGCAGAACAAATGTGTTTTTTCATGCTTTGCTGCTGCTTGGTAAAAGAGCAATAGCATTCTGCAGCAAGAGATTATCCTTACATGCCCAATTCCTTTTTTTTTTTTTTTTTTACTGTAGTAGGGTGTGTGAAGCTCCTTTAAGCCAGTTATAATACTTCTCAGACTGAGTCAAATACTGTGGTATTGGTATCAATATATTTTTTTTTATGTATAAAGTCCTGAAAACTTCAAATTGTGTTGTCGAGCATAGCCTGCCCTGGAACTTTTTTTTCACCTGGAATAGCAGATTCTGTCACTTTCCTAGCATAGCTACGTACAAAACTTGAGGCAGCTACTCCTCCCTGCTGGCAGAAATATGTGAACCAAAACATTCACACCGCAAAAAGTCAACCCAACACAGGTCCGCGGCTACATTAGTAGACTGCTGCCTGGTAGCTCTGTGTGCATCCCATGTGTCTTATCAGACTTGGGCTGTACATCTAGGAACAGTGCAGGTTGTATCCACGCAATAGAGGAGTTTACGGGCAGCGCCTCACTGTAAAAGGTCTTCTAGGGCTATAGCGGATGAGCTGTTGCTTGAAGTCAGGTTTAGATGCACCCCAGCAGGATGTGCAGTAGTTCCAGTAGAAGTCTTGGGCTTTAGACCATTATGTCGGTCTCTCTGGTCTATGCAGAGGTCAGGATAATGGCTTTAAATCTGTTAATCCAGTTAGCGAAAGCTAGTTTACAGATCTCATACCTTGTCCTTCCTGCAGGCAAAGAAGCTGGTGGAGTCCCTTCCGCAGGAGATCAAGGCTAACGTGTCCAAAGAGGAAGCGGAGAAGATCAAAGCGGCGCTGGAGGCGGCAGGAGGGACTGTGGTTCTGGAGTAGACACCCTGTCTCGTTGCAGAGGGACTAGTGCAATGGCAGCCTGCTGCTGCTGCCTGCCGGGGGCACTGGCCTGACCGTACCGGGGTCCTGGACGTTTCCAGGCGTGACAACGTCCTGTAGTTGGGTGGTGGGAACGCTCCCGTGAAGCGGTCCGGTGCAAGAACGACGTATGGTGTGGAGGGGCTGCTGCCTAGTTCCGGCATCGCAGCGAACTCTACGTTCATAAATGTCGAGTGGGTAAAAGCGTGTAGAACCAGTGATGGGTAGAAGACCCGAACTGTCCGGCGAGCTGCGGGGCGTGCAGCGGCGTG